AGAGAGATGTATACAGTATATTTTATATAAAATTAAGACCAACATGTAAGTTTTACTAATTACGATGAAGACCGTCCACGGCGTCTCTCCGGGCTGTACTTCCCGTGCGTTTTGAAGGCCAGCAAACATTATATCACTGGACGTATGGAATGGAAAGCACTTGTTGTCCATTAGATACCCTTTCCTCCCGACTCCACACCCGCTATGAGTGATATTGTCGTAGAAATGAATTTTCATATGATTTCCATTATAGCCATCAATATATAGACTAAACACTAGAATTAATATGTGTTTTAAAATAAAAACATTAATTCAATGATTGAAAACATTTCGTACGTATAATAACTCCTGTTGTTATAATACAAGCCAATGAATCCATTTGTCTAATAATAATAATAAAATTAATATTCTTAATCTATAATAAAATGTATATTTTTAATACTAAAAATTTGTAATATTAAATCTTATGCAATACAGTATTTGAAATAGCTTATATCATATTTAAATATATCTCAAATTTTAAATAAAAGTATAATATTTCTCAAAAATAAATGTTAACTTACAATTAAATAACAAAGATGCATGTTCATTCGAGGGATAAGGTACAAATAAAGTATAAATTTTTATAAAATAACAAAACATTTAATATTAGCTATTTTTATAATTAATAAAAAATTATAACGTTATGTATGTTTTTTAAAAATATGCTAATTAATTAATTTTTATTATTAAATATGGTGTTGTGTTGCGAAATATACACTTATCTAACATAATGTTTACAAATAGAAATATTTATATTAAAACAAAATTTAAAATGAATTTGATGAATTTTAAAAAATAACTACTGGTGATTAAAATATTAACAAATTATCATGATTGTTGTCAATGCAAAACGTATGTAGGTATTAATTTAATGTTTAAAATTTAATTAATGTTAATATGATTTATTATAAAATTATATAAACATTTATTTATTATTAAATACAGGGACTTGTATATTACTGACATTATTAACCGTGGTTATCTATCGGTGTTATTGCGTGGAAATATGTGATGAGATCAGTAAAGTACTAGGC